AGCACTGATCTGTCAGAGACCCTGCACTGACTTTCCACCATAACTTTCTACACAGACAATTTCATCATTAACCAAACGACAGGAACTGGGTGTTCCTGATACACTGGAAGCCTGGTGGGCTTGTGAGAAGGCCATCAGCATCCTGGGCTGGTACTGATAGGAGCACAGCCAGGAGATTGAGGGACATGATTTTCCCCCTTTGTTCAGTTTGAAATACATCTAAATATTGCTTCAAGTTTGGGAGCCCTCAAAAAATAGGAAAGGCATTGACAAACTGGAACAAGCTCAGGATGAGCCATCACGATGGTTGAGTTGTCTTGCAAGAAGAAGCTGAGAGAAAGAATTTGTCTAGCCTGGGTGAGGAACAGCTTCAAGGGACACCTAAGAGCAGACCCCAAGCACCTAAGAGGGAGTCAGCAAGGCAATGGAGACAGGTTCTTCACAATAAAGCACTGCAGGAGGAGAAGCCAAAGGCAGAACTTTAAATAGCTTCAGACCAGATACAAAGAAAAGCAATTTCCCCATGAGGACATCAGGACAGCCACCCAGAGAGGCTGTGCAGTCTCAGAGTTGTGCAAGCTCTGGCAGGACAAAGCCCTGAGTAACCTGGTCTGAGCTCTCAGTTGGAGCGAGACCTCCTGAGCTCCCGTGGTGGTGCAATGAGTCTGGTTCCCTGTTTGATCCAACCTACCTCTGACTAGCAGAGGTCATCCACAGAACTGCAGTGTAGGTATTAAAAGACAAGAGAGACGTAGAAATACCCTGTGTGTTTTCAAAGAGCAGGAGATAGATCAATAAAAACATACGTTTAGGAGTGCCTGTGTATTTGTGCACATTTGTAAAAATCTATGCTAAAATCCAACTACAAAATATCACTGTGTAGGAGCTGGCAATTACCTGAGATTATACACCTTCAAAACTATATTCCTTTTCTTTTCTCTTAGGCCAATACATCATTCTCTTTCACTTTTTTTTCACATTTCAGCTGTTTTTGCTAAGTGATCCAAAATTAAAGTTTTTCAAACTTTTTTTTTTTTTTTTTTTTTTTTTCAGACAGAAAAAGGAACACTGATCTTTATACAACTTTTCATGTTAGAAAAAAAAATGTTTGGGAGAAGAGGGGAGCTGCTGGTTGTAATGCTGGTTGTAATGTAAATGGAAAAGATAAAACAATAAAATGCACACCATATTTTTTGCATTCTCATTTGACAGTCTATTTCAAACAGGGTGATTCTAAAAGAAAAAATAATGCAGATTAAAAAAGAATGGTACTGGCATATATCTTGAGCTGGATATATTTTTAAATGTTTGAAAGTCTTTTGAAAAAAAATATTTTCACATATCTCAAATTTATTTTTTCAAATAGTTCTAAAGCCGTACTCTGAGCTTTCCAGGGCAGCCAACCTAGTTACCTGTAAAGAGCCCAGAAGGATGTCTTGTCCCAAATGTAAGATAAATAGATAGATAAAAAGTTAAGCTAGCTGTTGATTTGTATCATCAATATCGACAATTCATCAAAAATTGATGAATTGAATCATCATCAAAAAACAGTGATCACCTTGTATGCAACTCACTCAGAGTGCATTGAATTCAGTCATCCTTTAAAGTCACCTGAGTTGCATTTAAATTCAGATACTGTACCTGAAACAGTCATCTGAAATACAGAGCTTAATTATTGCCTTCAAGAATATTTAACTTGAAAAAGTCCATTTATGAAACAGCAGCAAGAAAAGGTTGACCTACTGCTGTCTTTTTGTTTGCACATCTATTTCTCAAGTAATGGCTTTTAAAAAGTGGTACCATCACTAGACGTATACACATCATCTCTATCATTGAGACCAATTGAATTTCCCCAAATCAAATTCCCTCCCAGTTTGTTTCCTTCGTGCGGGAGCTTTGGATGTGAGCAGCCTGCCGCTGAGCTCCCAGACCTCCAAGCAAAGGGGTTCACGTAGCAACACTGGTATGTTCACTGGGAAGAGCACAGACCTCAGCTGCCTGCTTGTTGTTTCTCATCAGCATTTTCTGCTGAGGTTGCAGAGCAGCCACGTTTGTTACTTCCTCTCTTCTGCTCCCCCGCAGCACTCATCCCCAGACCAGCAAGGCGTCAGCCCAAGGAAGGCAAAGGATGCTCTCTGGCCACTCTTTCTACCTAGCTATGACTTGTACCCGTCCTCCACTCTCCCACCCTATTTGCATTTTGCATCATCAACAGCCAGCCATAATAAGGTGAGATAAGGGAGAGAGATAAAGTGATGTAAGTGTTTTGTGATACATCTTTTAAAACATTTGAGTTATTTTGGTCCAGTGGTTAAAATCTTTCTATTTCAAGTAGGCTTCCTATGCTAGTACCTAAGCACTAGGTTTCAAGAAGTATACATGTAGGTGGGAGTCTGTTCTTTTTTAACAAGCCGTTTTTCTCAAGGTTCACATGTCTCTCAACATGGCACTTCACCTTAATATTACATCTCAAGATCTCCAAACACCGAGGAAGACAGCTCTGTGTTAAGCTATAGATGAGTAAAGTGAAATTTTATGACTAGATTGTACCCCAGTTAAACAAAACAAACAAGGTGGGGAAAAAAAAAAAAAAAAAAAAAAAAAAAAAACTTGTATTACAACCCTCCCAACACTTCTACATTGCTAATGATAGCAAGTCTGTGCAAAAGCACAGAAAGCTTCCTCTGCAGGCACACCAAGAATATCCCACTGGTTTTTGCTTAGGAATAGGGGGCAACTTCATAACCAGCTCTCAGCCCTCCAGATCTTCCTTGATTAGAAGGGACAATGTAATCTACGCTACAGCCAGCTTGTTAACTTTCAAGCTTATCACCATGAGCAGAAGTTTATTTTCCTTTTAAACCAGAAGTGATCATTCTTAGGGCAAGCTCCTCCAAAAGCAGCAATGCAAGACATTGGAAATGAAGCAAGGAGCCCACCTGCAGCTCTCCACCCCCACAGCCAGGGTGACTCAGTGGTGTTCCCATACACCCCATACCCCAGCAGGGCTCAGAGCTCCCGCATCCCACCACCCCACTCTTACAGAGTTGTTCCACCACCAGCAGCAGCTGCTGAGGCCCAAACACCTCCTCATGTAAGGCTTTGGGCCTAGCAGCATTGCAGCAAACACTTCAGGCTCACATTACATATTTTGGTTCCAGTAGCTCCTGTTGTATAGGAGTTTCTGGTCTAATCAGAAAAGAGATGATGGGGACAAGAGCTGAATGATTATAGAAAAAGGGGAAATGGGAAAGCAAGAAACTATATATTAAGCATGTGATTAGACAAGCCCCTAGTACAGATTCCTGCTTTGCCATGCAGCTTTTCTCCAGGAGCCTGCACCACTTCTTTGCTGAAGAGTTCAAAGGGTCTTTGAACCGTGGAGGATCACAGTATCTCTTGAGGAGCTTTCCGTTGCCCCTTAGGCAGTCTCTGCTTGCCAGGACACCCTCATACCTGGTGTGCCAAATTCAGCTCTGTATGTTTTCCCCAGTGCCATCATTTCAAAGTAATTCCCTTGCTGTGTATGTACTGCCTGCTTCAAACAGTTGTAACCCCAGCCACAAAGCCCCTCATGCTCTCCGCAGTCAGAAGGTACACAGGTACCCTCTGGGTGTTCTTGTTCCTCTTAGTCCTTGGACATGACAGCAGGACTCTGTATGGAAGATTATTACAGGCAGTGCAGGAAGGCAGAGAGGCCCTTGGACAGGTCTTTACAACATCAGCAGGATCTCCACAATTAAAACAAGCTTCCTGGACCATTGCAAGATAATGCGATGTTTGAGAAGAAGGTATGCACACAGATTTCATTCTGAACACTTTCTGTCTCAGGTACTTGGTCCAAGACTGCTAATGTGAACAGAATTATGGATAATCTGGGTGCCAGATGAAGAGGTGAAGTACCTGTATCTTCTATAACAAACTGAAGAAAATAGATCTTGTGGTGCTTTGTTTTTGTGGGGTGCATGTGTATGTTTTGTTTCTGTTGTTTTCTTCTTTTCTGAACTGCTTACATGCCAAGTTTGGAAAGGAAATAAAAATGTGTTTTGTTTTGTTTTGTGTTGTTTTGGTGTGGGTTTTTTTTTTTCTTTTCTTTTGTCCTCTGAATTGAATCAAAATCAAAGTCATCCCAAACCCTGTCTGTGACAGTGGCCAACAGCAGGTGACAAAGTAGAGAACAAAGGAACACAGAAAATGTGAAGGGAGGACCGCTGTGGGGACATTTGGTCTTCAAGAGTTTGGGGACACCCTGAAAGAAGTTTGGCACAGCTTCATTGTGCATGTTAGCTTTCAACACCTACTCTTTCCACTAATTTTACTGTCTTTCTTTTTGAACAGATTTCTGCTTTTACCAAAACAAAATCCATACCAAGCCTCCCAATTTATTGTGTGATGTATGAAAATGTACTTATTTTTTGTTCAAATTTTCTGTATTGTCTTTTTTCTTCTTTTTTTTTCTTTCTTTTTTTTTTTTTTTTTTTTAAATTGTATGATGCATGCTAATTTCTGAATGTAAAAAAGCGAGCATTCATTGCCCTGTAATGATCTCTGTGCCAGTCATAACTGGCAGACCTTTATCACATTACCTCTCGATCCTCTTTTTCAAACTGAGGAGCTCCAATGCAGTGAAACTCTAGCTCCTCTTTTCCATATCTGGTTTCTGTCCTTTGTTCCCCATCTTTTAATTAGCTGCTAACCCATGATAAGACACTTCTCTTATCTTGTGGCTGCCAAGCCATCACAAGCCTTTGACCCTAGCTCTGCCAAAAGATTTCTAGAAATCCAAGTCCACTGTATTTATGTGTACATAAGCAAGCAGGGCAATAGGCCAGTGAATTTGTAGGGCGAAACAGGTGGTGCCAAGCATCTGATGAGTATTGCAAATGAATAGCCATTAGCACTGCACTCCTGCAACACATCTGGTTTAATTTTATTCAAAGGGCACTAATTTTGTGTGATATGGTATTGGTCTACTGTGTGAACCATGGCAAGGTGAGTGGGGATAATCAGATGATAAAATGACCAGATGCTTCATTAAGTGCACTCCTAATCCATATTAACCCACCTGTGGCATCACATCCTCTGTCAACTGGATGGACCTTCACTTCACTCACAAATCCAAGGAATTCCAGGTTTGTGAAGAATGTCTTCTTTACTCCCCAAAAAATAACACTAGGATTACTCTCCCTTGATATATGTAAATACAGCTGGCTATTAGTTTGCTACTTTCCATTTCTTTGGCACCCTGCAACTAATTAAGCAAATAAATTACATACCATAATATGTAATTTAGTATTTTCTTTTCCCACTTGATTTAGAACTCTGCATGAATGCTGCCAAGTCCTGGTGCTCCATCAGCCTTTTTTACTTCTGTTCTAAAAGATCCTCTGGTAGTATTTCAGTTTGAGAGAGTTCCAGAGATTTCTCCCACACAAAAAGGCACTCTTCTAGAAAAATTTAGTACAAGGGCTCATTTAGCATTGTTTCTTATGGCCTTGTCATCTCTTTTCCCCCAACCACCACCTTTTTAATTTATTTTTTTAACTACTCAAACTACTCAATATCTTTCTCTTTTTTGTTTCTAATGGTCTGACAGGATTTTGATTATTTTTTTTCCTAGTCCATTTTTACTATTTTATCAAGCAAACCAAAAAGACTTTGACTAAAAAACTTTAATTACTGGGATTTATGCTCTTTTCCATTTAACTCTAGTGAATATGATTTTCATTTTTGGAAGGTTGCCTTGTTATTTCTAATAGACTCTTGTAATTTGCTGTTTACACATACAGTCTTTTTCATTTTATTATTGGTATTTTTTAAATCTCCCTTGATAGATGATAAGCATTTATTCCTAGCTTCTAATAATGGCATGTTTAAGCAGTCTTGATGCCACCTCAAGCAGTTTATCCTTTTAGCTCCTCCTCTTATTTTTCTCTCAAGTTGTTCAGATAATTTAGCTCCACTTCTTTAAAGTTACTTTGTTTTCTTTCTTAACTACCAGATGGATGATGAATTTGGAGTTACTGTAATTTCTATTAAAAATATGGTTCTTACATGTTATAACACCACCATGCATTGTTGTTACACACCCTGAAAACTCACATCATATGGATTGCCTTCTTAATTGTTTCAGGAATGTGTCATTTATGGTGTCTACAGTAATAGATCCATACTTGTTTAACCCAATGAAGATGAGAGATGTGATACTTTCTTTGGTACTTTCCATAACCATCCTTTTTTTGTAGTTGTTTCTGACATCTGGAATTCAAATTTTATCAGTGTGTTTTCTTTCTTCTTGATAAGCACTTCTTCTTAAACTGTCCATATAAAATTGAGAGCATCCTCAGAATGAAAATCCCCATTGATTTAGTGCTGATGTTTGCTCTCTCAGAAATCCTCAACTGGACAATTAATAACAATAATAAATAAGAACAACAACGTCCTGCAGCAGCAAGGCTCTGTCTGGGGCTGCCTGGCAGGAGAGGGTAGAGGAAGCAGCACCATGCCCCAGCCGCACGCAGAACAGTTTGCCTCTCCTGCTATGCAAAGCTCCTTGTTTAATAAAATGTTTGCATGCACATATTAAGCATACATTTGTGCAGCAGTGTTTTTACAAAAGTCTTTCCACCCCTTCCCTTAGGCTGTCTGCCAGAAATACTCAACTGCAGCAGTTCAAGATTTCTCTCTAGCCTAAGCCCACATAAAAATGTTGAACCGGCATATGACCCGGCCTCCTCCAGCCATAGAGCATTTAACTATTAACTACTCTCTGGACTGTGGAAGATTTATATCAACAGCACACATCCTGTTCTAGCCACTGTGTTATGGCTGGATGAAGTGCTACTTTAAAGGATGTCACTCTCAGGACATGACAGCTTGTAAAGTGACCTCCTGGAGGAGAGACAGAGGGAGGGACAGCAGGGACCTATGCTTGCAAGCAGTGCTCATGCTGTGGAAAGCTGAGGTTTCAGTGAGAGGCTGCCTTAAACCTCTGGTGCTCTGAGCAAAGATAAGGACAGGCACAGACCCTAGCGAGACATCTAGTTTCTGTGCACAAGTCCATCAGATCCATGTAACCAAAGCACAGTAGAAGCCGGTTGTGCTGGAACAGTATTCAGTTGTGTAAAATGTTAGAGTTTATGGTTATAAAAATAATTCAAACAGTGCTAGTTATAGACAGTTTTAGATCCCATGAATAGTAGTCAGATTAAATATTTAGATGCCTTTCCCCAATCCTGATCTACATGGGAAAAGCAAAAGGAACCAACACTACATACAGCTAAAAGCCTTCTCAGAAATAAGAAGAAAGTCATTTTGAAAGAAGTGCCACATACAAGTCAAAGACCCTTCCAAAAGCTGTAGAAGACAAAAAGGTTGTTTTGGTGATTACAAGCCAGAAGAGACTCCCTCTCCTAGTCCTGCAGACTCAGCCTCTGCAGCAGCAGAAGGCAACTGTAAGCATATCTAATCCTCAGAGAGACCATACGCAATATCCACGCAGTGGAAGCATCGCAAACCGCAAATATTGAACCTCTCTACACAACTTTTCTGTACCACAGATCAAAACATTTCTTTCCCCTTCTCCAGTAAGGAGAACTGAAAGCATTCTAATTCAGGAATTAAACAGAAATAAGATTTAGACCCTAACCATTTCTCTTACCACAGAAAGAAAATTGAATCACTAACAGACTGAAATAGTGAATTAAAATCTTAGCTGAAAATTAGAAGTCATTCTGGACAGAGAAATATCCAAACAAATTTATATATATATATATATATATATATATTATTTTATTTTTTTGTGTGTTAACTTGCAGACCTAGGTTTTCAGTGTCCTTCATTAAGTACAATTCTGATGAATTATCTGCAGGCATGGGAACCCTGTCAAGCAGGCCATTTCAATGACCAAACAGCTGGTAGCTGCCACCACCATGTACTCCTGAATGAACATCAGCCACCGAACGGTTACTGGATTGACAGCAGGGAAGACAGCCCAGCTGTAGAAGAGCACTGGTTTACGATTCAAGAGCTTCCATTCCCAAATTTGCTTTGCAGTGGTGAGCAAACTCAGCTGGCCTCTATCTCAGTTCCCTGTATCACCCAGGGAAAGCAACAGCAGTTCTCTCCTGCACATGGAAACATTATGAGAACAGCAGGCATAAAGCTACTAAACAGTGTAAAGAACTCGGGCTGCCCAGCTGTTGGATTACAGTCCCCAGATACCACACAAAGTACTTGTTATCAGACCCCAGTCACAGTCAATCTACCTCATTAATAGCAGCAGTTAACCTTTCAACTGGAGGAATTAAAAAGATGCAAAAATTAGTAATTGCTGACCAAGGTCTCCTGATTTTAAGTTAGTAAAGCTCATGGCAACACCACAGCTGCAATTGGACAGAATTCAGCTCATGTTGTGAGACCAGAAGGCACCTTCTCACAGAAACCCCTCTGGTCCAGCTGCTTCCTGTGCTCCAATTCCCAGGAGCTGCCGTGTAACAACATTAATGCAGACACATTCTTGACAGTCATTTTCCTTAGGGTTTTATGCTGTGTCCACTTACAACCCCTGACAGCAGAGCCCAAGGACAGGTCTAACCTTCCTAAACCTAGAGAATTCTTCTTCTTTAACAAGAGAGTTCCCCACACCAAGCCTCCCACTTTCAAGTATTTACAGAATAGTCTCCTCATGCTTCCTTTCCAGAGAAGCCAGGTGACACAGCCCAGTCTGTGTGTTCAATTTCTAGTTTCACAACACGCTATCTCAGGAAAACACCTGTGTTTTTCCCACCACTGCCACCCATTTAGCAATTTCAGGCACTGCTGGATAATAAGAGAGTTTCCCCAACTCACATAGCACTTTCCTTTCTCCTCTCCCCTTACATCCTCTGAGCTGATGAAGCAGAGGACATGGATGAAGCCCAAGAAGCCTGCATGAGGAAGAGCAGCGGTCCTTGCTCCGTTCTTACCAGTCGTGCTGCAAAGCTCCCAGACCCGGCTGGGAGATGAGGTGAGAGCCAGACTTCCTCTACCGCCTGGGGATGCTCCACACCAGAGGCAATTATACCTCTGCTCAGCAATTCTCTTCAGAGAGGCAGAAAGAAAATACAACTCCAGACAGACAGAGACAGTGCTGTGCTTTCTCTCTTCATACCTAGTGACATGCCCTTTCCTACTCTTCAGTTTAAAGGATTGAATTTTACCTGCTGTCCTTCCTCCAGCTCCAGGAAATCCTGGATCTGAGAAGCAATCGAGTGTCCCAGGCAGCCCCTTTTTCTGAGCCCAGAGCAGCCCAGAAGCAGCCCAGTCCAAGTTGCAAATGTAACAGATTAGCAGGGAGTTTGCACTAGGAGTTTGCTCTGGCATAGGTTAAGGGTGGGAGGACTGGAAGAGGACTGACGTATGGATGCCTGTATAAGGCCTTGTGACAACTAGCAGTTGTCTCGGTGGTTTTACAAGTATCAGTTGTATTTACTCTAGCTCAAGTGTTGCAGACTGCAATAGAAATTCAGGTTTCCTGTGACTGCTTCCCAATTCAGCATTCATCAAACAGCCAACACCCTCAGCCAGATCAAGGCCTCGTCATGGTAGATACTAGATAGATAGAGAAGATGACATCATCCCAGCCCAAATACCTGGCGAAGATAAAGAGGGAGTTAGATGATAGCAATGTGCCTGGAAGGGAGAAAAACAAACCCAACCATGCCCCCTCTTGGCCTCTATCAAAATAATGATTACGTGAAGGGGAATGCTTAAAGCCCTGAATGTGAGCATGCATGTAAACAAAAATCAAGACTTAAAGCTGGGAAGACGTTTAGCTGAAGTCTCTAAGCTTCTGTCTATAATAACCATCCTGCCTTCTGATTAGAGCCAAGAAAATGGCTTAGCATTTTTCCTCTTCTCTAATCGAATGCTATTTGTAAATGCATTTTTCATCCCTCCTATCTTTCCAGTTGGTTTTATTTAGGTAGACATGTCAGGGTGGTAAATTTTAGACCTATAATTTGTGGCTTCCTGACTTGTGGATCATTGCAGAGGAGTTCTCATGGTGCTGTTCCTCCAACTAAATATTTACACACATATACCATGTACATAGCTTTTACTTATGTGCATGGGCAAAGGCTCTGCATAGCTCACATAATTTTCCAGTCTACATGTGTTTCTAATCATGACAGCACATTGAAAATATGTGCCTACAAAACACATTTTAAATGTACTTATACAAAACAGTATGTGCTTACCCTTGAGGTGTTTGCTATATATAGAAAAGCTGAAGCTTAGACTTCCTGTTCTCATTTTCTCCTTTCTCTTGATATTCATTGTATCCAAGCTTCCATTACAATTCAGCTGTACATTATTTTTCACTGGCAGTGAATCAACTCAGACACGAATGCTGATAATACACATGTATGTGATAAAGCACAAGACTATCCCCTAAAGACTCCCATATTTCATCCGGTTCAACAGTGATGGTGGTACAGGAGTGAGCATCATTCTTCTGCTCAGTCAGTTTCTTACTGAGAGACCACACTTACAGGTCTTCAATGTATCAAAAAGGAGTATAGTTATAAGTAACTAACAAAGTTTGCTATCATTATATTTATTTTCTCATACCATAAACATACTTTTTTTTTTTCCAAAAAGAAAAAAAAAAATCTATTGATTTTGATCTTGCCTACTTAAGTGCTTTTAACAGTTAAGTCCAAAGCCTCTTTAACTTGGTTGTTTTAGTTTGTGGATAAGGCCAATGAATAATCCTATGAATTATTCCTGATGGCAAGCCCAAAGACATTTCTTTATAAAGTTACCTATCCCAACCAAGCTACATGCACCCAGAGTGTCAAAGGTCAGTCAAACTTTCAACCATGAATGGGAGCATAAAGAGCCATGGTTAGCTCTCGACTGCTTCACAGTTTTTAAAACATTAGTTCCCAGTCAGCAGTTACTCACCTCTGGGATAGCCTTCCCCTTCCTAGGAAACACAGAATATATATGACCAGAGCCTGAAGGCATCAACACATTAAACATATTGAAAATAGATGAGATTTAACAAAATTACTTTGGATATTTCCTTTGGACTAATCTTATGAACTCTAGCAGTCCTCTAGAAGTAAACAGTGCTATATAAATGTATTCACACGCTGACAAACGCTTGCAGGACTAGGGCCTAAATTAAGGAGATTCCACAAGCCTTACTATTATCCAGATTTACAGATGATCTATTCAACTTTACATGGTTATGTTCCTTTTTCATTTTTATTATCATCTTGAATGGATTTGTATTGATGTGCATGACTGGAGAGTCTGTGCTTTGTATGAATATAAGCATTCATCCACAGGGAACAATAAGTCATCTTTCTCCCACTGCAGAAGTTTGTCAGGGAGCAGAGAGAGACCCACCAAGCTTAGCCAGGCAGTCAAACACCACAAAAAAACAAATAGAAAACAATAGAAGCAAACAGTTTCTGAAGGACTCGTAAACTAGGCCTTTATGTATGAGCTGCTTGTTAAACAGTTGCAAACAACAAGTCAGTTTATAAGATTCAGAAACTTCATGCAATCTATTTGAGATAAAATACAAGAGAGGGCTGAGCAGACCAGAAAATCCAAGCAGCACTAGTCACCACTTGCTCAAAAGCCGAACTAGCTCAATAACTGTTATTGTGCCTTCTTACAGCAGAGTTGTAGATAAAGCCCTAATTGCCCAACCGGTGAGACAGCAAACACCATCTGCTCACACAGTGATATTTAAATAAAAAAATAAAAAATAAATAAAACAGCAACAAAACATGGTCAGAAATTCTGGATGAGGGATAGCTTCTTGCATGGATCCATTTGAAATGAAGTTATAGGAAGTGATATGAAAGTATGCTATATAAGTAATGCATACTTAAGTGGTCACTTTCTGCATGCTCACATAACTCCCATCTTGGCCTCAACCGACAGGGACTGACATAGGGTCTCTGCCAGGGCTACAAACACAAGATGCTGCCGTTTGCATAAAAGCACTAGATCTTTCCATCTGGACCTCCGACATCCTCATATGGTCTCCATAGGAGGCAGAGTGAGGGGGCTCCAGCAGGCAAACACCAAAAAAAGAGCATCGCTTCCAAGAGAAAGACCCTTCTCGGGCCTGCTGGGACTCCAGCCCAGCACCACAGGCACAGTGCCTGAGGGCAGCAGTGCTGGGAAGATCACCCAGTGCTGATCTCAGAGAATGAGGAGGCGTGAGTTTCAACCATCACACTGCTGCGCTGGCTTTCGCCTCACATGATGACAGTGCTGCATGGAGGAACCATGCAGACATCAAACATACTTTGCTGTGGAGTATCCTTTTTGCTCTAATCTACTGTCCTCATCAGGGATCTTCAGCAACAGCCAGTGTTCCTGGCACAGCATCGCACCCAAGGTTACTGAATAACCCCATAAACGCTCCAGCTCCTCCCAGCCACAGACCAGTTCCTACCCTGGCAAAGAGCAGGGCCACAAAGATGATCAAGGGACTGGAGCACCTCTCCTTTGAGGTAATGCTGAGAGAGCTGGGAATTTTTAGCCCAGACAAGTGCAGGCAGGTTAGGGGAGATCCTATCAATGTGTATAAATACCTGAAGGGAGGGTGCAATGAAGACATAACCAGGCTCTTTTCAGTGGCGTCCAGTATCAGAAAAAGACACAGTGGACACAAACACAGGAAGTTCCCTCTGAACATGAGGAAGCACTTTTCAACAGTGCAGGAGGCTGAGCACTGGCACAGGTTGCCCAGAGAGACTGTGGGGTCTCCCTCCTTGGAGATCTTCCAAAGCCACCTGGATATGGTACTGGGCAGCCTGCTTGGGGTGTCCTTGCTTGAGCTGGGGTTGGACCTCCAGAGGTCCCTGCCAACCCCAGCCTCTGACAGTCTGTGACCATTCCTGCTTCATCTCCACACTCGCAGCCAGGGTCTGGCAACTGCTGCAGCCATTTCCCAGGGTTGGAGGACCCCAGCAAAGGCCCGTGGACATGGGAGGACAACCAACTCACTCAGGAGTTTTCCTATAGCCAAACTCTGGATGAGACCATCTCTTACCCACCATCTCCCATGGCAGACTCAAACAAGGACCCATTTGGGGTAAGGGTTTTGTTCCATTAAATATTTACCATATCTGAGACTTGTTTTAAGCTTGGCATGGAAATTCAGAACATCGTTTTACCCAAGTTTTATCAAAATCTGCAAATTCATGGGAAAAATAATCAGGAATTTTAAGTCAAGATTGCTGCTAATAAATCTGAACACTGCACTGTCTAGTTTACCCCATTCTTGTAAACCCATAACTTGACTCACTCTAGTATTATAATTTTAATCCATAATCATCAACTTTTTCTATTCATTCTGATGAGGATTTCTTGAGAGGATAAATGGATCTTTCAGACAAAAGGAATTGAAACAAAACAATTTTTAAAAAGGTTAAGTGGCGCCTGATAGTCTACAATCTGTCAAGTTAAGCAAACAAGGGGGAAAAAAAGAAACCCTACCTTGTAAATATGGCAATTACAAGTCTAGTTTCTACAGTCTGGAACCGAGCCAGGACCTAAGTGTGAAGGATTGAGAGGAAAATTTGTTGTAAATTCCTTCAAGTGAAAGTTTTTATCTAAAAGGCAAAGAATATCAGTTTTAGAAAGGTCATGAAGTCACAACACTTTTTTTGAAGCCCAACTTGAAATGTCAATTTGACCTCTTTTTAAAAGCAGAGAGACACAGCTGCATTTGGAGTGCAAGCCTTACACTAGAAAAAGAATAGCAATGATTAACAAGATGTTTTGCACTGAACTTTGTGTAGACAGGCATGAAAAATATTCTTTCAAAATTCCTAGCAGACATCATAATCTCAATGACTGAAAAAAAAAAAAGATATTGTTGTATATTCTCAGTTTAAAGGGAGGAAAAATAAAAAACAAGAGAAACAGACCTTTCATATAGGCATAAAGTTGCAAGTTACACATGAGCTGCATCAAGAGATTTCACATGAGCCTGGCTTTTTTCCTTCTCTTGTTGAGGGGACTTGCTGCGATGACAGGGAAATGTGGCAACTGACAGACCTGTGCTTCGACTTTACAAATCCAAGCTGTCTGGGAGGGGTTGTAGAAAGGGTGAAACAGTGACTCAGAGACAGAGCCAACAAGTCCTGCAACTCCATCTCTGAGAAATCTTACAGAAGGGTAGTTTAAATTTGGGTAGGATTCAAAAACACATGGGTATACAAACATATACCCACAAACGTACACATGTAAATGCGCTCATACAAAGCTCAGCAAGTTCCACTGAAACCAGAAAGCCTGACTAGAAGATTC